TTAAGCACGTTGTAACTGAAATATTTGCACAACATTACGTTTTCTTAAAAATTATTGATCGCAAGTAACGATATACTTTAATGTTAGAATGCAGAATTGATTTAGAAGACTATTTCATATATTTCTAGATCATCAGCTAAAAATTCAGAAAATTTACCATTGCATTATTCACTCAATAATAGATTTTGTCTTATCTAATATTCCATTCTATTACATTATTATCATTTTGACAGCTTAAAAATATGATGACCAACAAACAACTCCCCGCATAGACTATTGGTGCGACTACATAGGCTATATACATATATATGGAAGTAATTGTACAAGCACTACTGTATTTGTACGATGAAGGGATTGCATAACAACTTGATGATGGTTTATGTCAATTTGCAGAACATAAACTAGCTGTTACCTACGGGCTTCACTCCGTTTGACTCCATAAGTATTAATAAGTGTGACTTTTAGTTTTCTCAAAAGTTCATGGGTACTTTGGGATTTATATATGTATTATTATTTACAGTATCCAGTAAATAAACAGTTGAATGTTATTTGATTAAAGACAAAAGTATTACACAACACTCAGTTGATCAAGCATGTTTACAAAACGATGTATCAAACGTGTATGGAGTATGTTGTGTACCTTACTGATAGAGTAACCATGAGCCCAGTAGGCCTACCCTTGACTATTGTGGGGCTAGAATCCACGTTTCGTATTCTAACATTACTCCATGAGATTTAAAAGTACATGTATAGCTAATTGCATAATCAGTTATTGAGTTCAATTGTCCAAACACTTGAAATGTCATAACACCTTTGGTAAGAATCTGGATTTTGTTAATTTTACAATAGTTTTTTATTTGACAAACTTTTATTAAATTTAAAAATGGAATATTCTTATTAGTTATGTCAACAACCAATAATTATTTTAGTACTATCTCATAGCTTTATATTTCAGTAGGCGAAGCCATAAATAAATAAATTGACTACATAAAGCAAATATGTAATACATGTTCCACCATGTTATCTGTAGTCAATGAGGTTTCAGGTGCGCTTCACTTCTATGAATACAGAATGAATGATCGTCTGACTCTGGTGATAGTATTCAGATCTCTTGCCGTGTATTCACTGTAATTTGTATGTCATGGACTCATATACAAGCTTGTTACTGTGAACAAACTATCTCTATACATAATGTTTAAATGATATAGGCCAACAGAAATGTGAGTCATTAAGTTAAAAGGTGTACAGCAAAAGCTGACTATTGTTTTTAATTTTTCCCTCATATGAAGTTTAGAGAAAGAATTGATTTCGTTAAGATTTCAAAGTTCAAGTTCTGGGTACAATTGTCCGTTTCAGGTCTCTTTGAACCTAATCTTTTTCGAAGTTGTCTGTGTGTGAATGTGTACAAAGCTACTGTCTACACCATCGATGTATACAGGTTAATACAGGAAACCATTATCTTATTCAACCTGGAGAAGGTATGCAGCATTCTACATGCGAGTTTAAATTCATCAGTAAAGGCTTTAATGTGCCAAACAGTTGAATTGAAATTTAACTATTTCAAGTAAATCATCAATAGGAAATCCAAAGCTATCCCAGGTTTTTGAAATGGTATACGCTGCTGTTGGTGTAACGGCTTCAATGGAGCAAATGTCTCCATTGCCAACTATTGCCGACTTAGGGCTTCCCTTAGTTGAATATGTTAAGATACATTTCATTGGAATCGAAGTGTATTATGGACCTCTCCGCACGCAGATCCATGCATAACAGATGACTCAGTTCAGTATTGTCATCTCAATTCCGTGATTGGATATTATACATGTACTGTTGTGGAGATGTTAAAGTATATTAATACAAAGAATGTTCAACATTTTATGAAAAGTCTTATTTACTTTCTTTTTGACTTTCTCTTCCCAAACATAGTATACTGCATAAAGAAAGTATTGTTTTCGTCTAAAATTCGTTTTTGAGTTTACGTAAAAAAATACGTTTCGGCGGTTCTCGAAGTGATGTATCTGTATGTGTATTTTTTTTAAATTTGGTATGTGGGTTCTAGTTAATGGGATCTTCAGCTGTTGTTTTAATTTTTACCTAACCCGCCATGTTAAACTTCCCTATCCCAAGCGTGATGTATACAACTTCCTTACTTCTCGAGTGATGTAAAGTTGAAAAAAACTCACTCGGTGATGTAATGAAACCCATTTAAATAACATTGAATGGATAACATAAAAAATATACCTCTATGGATCCAACGACGTTCAACGCTAGAAATCAGCTGTGTGTTTGAATTTTATTGTTATGCTTTGAAGAATTTTCCTAACCTAGCTTTTGTTTGTAAATGAACGTTACTGTTAGAAGATGAGTGAAATTGATAATGAAGCATATTGCTCGTAACCTCCTGAATATTGTTGGGTCAGGTAAAATCTTGTACGTTACACGTTACGCAAGAGCGTGTTTACATCACTTCGGTGAATTATGCAACTCGCCTTCGCTCGTTGCACAACATTCACCTGCGTGATGTAAAAACGCTCTTACTACACTTGTAATGTAAATAGCTATTACCGTATTCCTTTATTTTTAAAGGTAATTTTTCCATACAAACCCACAAAATGACGGAAAATTGGATTTTTACAAAAACGGGTCAAGCTATTTTGATTGAAATTTAGTATATTATAACCTTTTAAGCTCGAAACAAAATAGCACAACCCTCCAATACTTTAAAAATTCATAAAAAATAATTGCTACGGTGATTTCCCCCATAAAATATCATAGTTACTCCCACCTAGGCTTTGGCCTACCCATTGTAAGGGTTGTTGACAAGGTAAAGGGAGAAAGTATGTGTCGGATTGCTGATACCATTTGTTTCAATATTGTTTGGTGAATGCACTCAACACATCTTATCACAGTTCTTAAAAAAAAATTAAATATTAGAAAAATCCTCAAACTTGCTAGACAATCAATAAAAGGTTAAATTACCTATGTCCGCCGGTCGATCCTGTAGAATCTTATTGCAGGATATGCATTTCGGCGACGTTAAATCGCCATCATCAGTCCTTAATATAAGAGCTTGATCTTCCCCATTAGGTGCGTCTTAAAGTTTTGAAAATACGTACACGAATTTTACACATGACGAAACACATAAATACATTGTAGGCTTACTTTTTACTTTTACTGCGGACATAAAATAAACGCGCGTCGGTCGTGTGTCGAGTCTCGACTTGAGTCAGATTTTACTTGCATAGTTGACCTTTGTCCTGTCTCTGTCCTTTGTAGCTACAGGTGGCGTTTCATTCAACTTTAACAATGCTTCGAATAATATGTTGGATTGTAGTGTACTTTTATCATTCAGAAGGTTGTGGGGGGTGGTTTTTGAGGCTTTGTAAATTTCATATTGCTCTAATGATGTCATTAATCGACTTTTTCTACAAACGTGTAAAGGTTTTAAATTCTCATTCAAGCTGGAATAACTGTGATTACTATTGACTAGGTGCTCGGCAAAATTGGATTGTTGTGTTAGACTATTTTTGGGAAGGTGTTCTTTAAATCTCTTAATAAATGGTCTGCCAGTCTGTCCAATATATAACTTATTACAGTCATTGCATGTTATCTTGTACACTCCCAACTTTTCACTCAGGTTTTTATCGCTTTGTTGGGCTTGGTTTGAGGAGATTTTGGACATTTTTGCCAAAATCATACGCCCACAGCAACAGATACAACCATCCACGAAACCTCCCACCACCCTATAGCTCATAAATTGGCAGCTTACAATAGCTTTGTTTATATATTGCTATCAGTACCACTTAGCCCCGTAAACTTCGAGAACGAGAGAAATATCATCAAATATATAGCTGTCAAAAATGGGTTTAATCCTAACATAATCGACACATTAATTAGCAAACATCGAAAGAAAATTTTTACAGAGACTGCAGATCCAAGGCCTAAAATAAAAACAGAATTTGTCTCAGTTGAATATGGAGAAAAGATCCCCCACACCCTAAAAAGTGAAATCGAAAAACATGGCAAAACTGTAGCATTTAGAACATCCAATAACGTCCAAAATCTCCTCAAACCTAAAGCCCAACAAAGCGACAAAAACCTGAGTGAAAAGTCGGGAGTGTACAAGATAACATGCAATGACTGTAATAATTTCTATATTGGACAGACTGGCAGACCATTAATTTATTAAGAGATTTAAAGAACACCTTCCCAAAAATAGTTTAACACAACAATCCAATTTTGCCGAGCACCTAGTCAATAGTGATCACAGTTATTACAGCTTGAATGAGAATTTAAAACCTTTACACGTTTGTAGAAAAAGTCGATATATGACATCATTAGAGCAATATGAAATTTGCAAAGCCTCAAAAACCATCCCCCACAACCTTCTGAATGATAAAAGTACACTACAATCCAACATATTATTCGAAGCATTGTTAAAGTTGAATGAAACGCCACCTGTAGCTACAAAGGACAGAGACAGGACAAAGGTAAACTCTGCAAGTTAAGTCTGACTCCAGTCGAGACTCGACACACGACCGACGCGCGTTTATTTTATGTCCGCAGTAAAAGTAAAAAGTAGGCCTACCATGTATTTATGTGTTTCGTCATGTGTAAAATTCGTGTACGTGTTTTCAAAACTTTAAGACGCACCTAATGGGGAAGATCAAGCTCTTATATTAAGGACTGATGATGGCGATTTAACGTCGCCGAAATGCATATCCTGCAATAAGATTCTACAGGATCGACCGGCGGACACAGGTAATTTAACCTTTTATTGGTTGTCAACCGATCCGGAACAACAACAAACAACATAAAATGAAGTTGCTAGACAACATAATTCTACCAATAAGCTAAGCTTTTCTAATAAAAAAAGGTTGATTTTGTAAAGTGGTGTGTTTGTTGTTTTTAAGTTTGAAAGAATACTGTGATGAATATCGAATGTATAGTTGTTACAACAGTAAGCCTAACATCTAGAACATCAGGATTTATTAATGAACATATTATTATCATTTGCATTATATTGTCTGCATTACAGTTGGATTGTTTTTGACCACTATCTTTTGCCCTAGGGATCAGTAAGTCGGTTAGTTTAAGGCCTTCATTTCCTACCAACCTTCGCTCCAGTAAAGTCCATGAAATTCAACATTGACAACCTTAGATTGGAAACCTGCAACAACAAACATTGTAAATATTGCATCATCCCTCTGGGGTTCAACATGGATAACATAGGTTAATAATTTAAATGAATTTGTGTGCATACAGTATAAGATACTGTGGTTCTTCACTACCTTGTCCAATGTGAACTTGTAGATGTGGCTTGTTCTTGATTTAAATCAGTTTATACAAACTTAAACCCTCTTCAACAGGGCCCATTTATTAAAGCGGCCCTGAGCCTTCCACAACATTAAGCGTGGTGGCATTCCATGGGCGCAAGCTGCAATCCACCTACTTGAAATCATCCAGCCAGCCGCTTGGGTTCGATACACCAAGCATGCCATTGTAGCCTGGGGTTCTTGGTCGCCCTCCTGACATCACAGCTACAGGCTGAGGCTCATACGCCTCTCATCCTAGTAGGCTGGTATGGGGCCAGCCTGGCCGTCGTTGCCATCTAGGTCTTACGTGACCTCTTTTCGTAGCTACTACAGTCATGACTTGCACTCCCAATTAATTGGTAGCCGCTGTCGTTTCACACGCAGATCCCTGTTGGTGCTGTCGTCTGACCCCCGTCACTGCCCCTTCCACTGCATAAGCCGTATTGGAGGTTCACACGCATTAATTAATTATTGCTCCACCAATGAACTACAGTATCACGATTGCTCGGCACTAAGAAACGAACCGCAATGAGTTTTATGAGAACTCCGACAGCGAGTTTGAGTTCAAGTTGTCGGTTTATATTACTCACACCGCAATACCGTCTTTGGTACGGATTTTCAGCCTAAGGATCTTCGTGTTTATCAAGTGTAGAAAATATCATCCAAGTCCTAAGACCCATAGCTAAGCCCTAGCTTTCGAACGCATGTGCTGGTGACCCAAAACGATATAAAACTCTATTAAGATTTATTTCACAAAAATACAGTATAAATAACTCACATTCTACACTTGGTTTTTACCAAACGTAGCAGTTTAGCATGCCTATGTTTTAACCGGCGATGGTTGAAACATATGCTAGACTTCTAACCTCTAACCTCAGCTAGGGGTTTGCTTATAGTTACGCCAGGCTATTGCAAGACTAGCTTACCCCCTCAAACAGGCACGTTAAAACCTACCAAGACTAGATTAACAGATTTGCATAGGTACTTTAAACATAAAAATTTCTGAAACGAAATTCTCTAAAACCTTCGAAGTTTTACAGTATTACTCATAACTGTGGTACAAAGTCTTCACACAGTAGATCCGTACATTAGATTTACGTGAAATATACTTCTGTACAACATATATTCAGAAAGTTAAATTTACCTAAGTAATTATCGTTACTTTCACTAGTCGTACCACTCGTGTTTATTTTTAACACAATGTCTACACCTTTACGTAGTTTCATTACAACTTAACCGTAATTTGCTGCATAAATTCTTACCAGCTTCCACTCCAGCTCATTGCTCATCAACTCCTCGTCAAATATGAAGACTGTCTTCTCCTGTGCGGTTTTCATTTCTTCAGTTATTTTCTGTTTTTGGTTTAGTCTGACTAGGCTGTACGAACGGTCGTTATATTTGGTATGTAAATACACCACTTTCACGACTAAATCGCATGCAAATCTATTAACACTGAAGAGGTATCCATTTGGCCCCTTTACGATTGTCTCAAATGCTGACTTTCCCTCTTCCCAATTTACCTCATAACATTCCATACTGTAATCATTATTCTCAATGTTAACATGCTTCGAAAACAGTTTTCCTTCAGACAAATCCCGGTTTTCTGTAAAATAGTAACACAGTTATGGTATTTGGTGGGATCATATTGGTTTGACATAAGACTGACTTTTAGTGACTTTCCTATAGGGAATAATATATAATTGTAGGTCTCATGGTGAGACTAAGACCTGGGTTTTAATTTTTCGTTTTGATGTCCCAGAAGCCAAAAACGCTATCCTTTCAATTGCATATGAATATATATGCTTTATTGTTGGGGGAGGTTATAGAGAAAAATAGTTTTTTTACGATTTTTAACCATAAAACATAAACTTTGGAATTGCATTCCAAAATATTTTGTTGCGCGTACAAAAAAATAATTTGGTAAACTGAAGCATTGTTGTAGAACAATAAATTAATGATCCTACAAAACTATAAATTAGAAAATCCTATGTTAGCCTTCTCTCATAGGAAATAAAAAATCTGTTATAGTTTGATTGTTTAGGTTGTTTTGTTTATTTGATATCATATATATACATATATGCCGTCATCACTGTACGCGATTCACTTACTTGTGATATCACAGACGAAATGAAATTCAGGAATGAAAAAATATAGGGTTTAATTTAAAACACAAAAATGAGGTTGTGTTCTTTACCAATTCAAACAACAAACTAAACATGTTTACATTATTCATAAAACAACTAAAACACATGCAAATAGCTTATGAAAACAAAACAGACTTAAGCAATAAGTAAAACCAGTCTCTCAGCAAAAAGTGATTTTAAATATATATTGAAGTTTTAACCAATGACTTATAATAGTCATATAACGGCACATATTAAAACGTGACAGGGTTTTTTTTATTTCACGATTCTGAATCAACCACTAGACGGATTTTTAAGGTTTTTGTGTTAAAATAAAGATAATTTTGAGTACTAGGGAATGTTGAAGCCAACATTTTAGTTTAGGGTTTCAGTTTTTTAGAAAATAAGTTTACATTTTTAAAAAGTCTAGCAGCCGACGCCAACATTATAGTTTGGCTTTTTGTACTGTATAAAACTATTTGCTTAACGTAACAGCTGTAAACATGTTTGTGACACAAATTCAGCATTTGGATAGAAATGAAAGACATACGTAGGATTGACTTATTTATACTATGTGTAATGCTTTAATAATACGTTCATTTATTCGGTAAGGGGATGACAGATTATTCTAAAATACATCGTAAATATTTTATAATCTAATATTTTTTTTAGAGCAGTCTTTAAACTCTTGGGTTTGTTTTAGTGCAATATAATTTGTTTGAACTAACAGCTGGATGGATATAAAAATATTCTATGGAACTAGGAGGTTATTTAATTTAGTCATTGATTATAGGAAATAAGTAAGATTAGTAGGGATTAGGTAGACAGTAGAGATAAGGAAACCCTTTGCCGTATACAAATCGAGGCTCTGCCCACGACTCTTCAAAGAAAAGCCTATGCAAATTATTTTCGAGATTTATTCTGAGATAAACAAATGGATGACAGAGTTATACGATTTTATCATTGACCTAGGATACTGCAAGTAGGCCTATAATAACTATCCTTTTGTCAAATCCAAAACGTTGGCGTGTGTTTATGTGTGGCTACGTTTGGGTGCGCTGATGTACGCATAATGTCGATTTTATTTTTTAACTAATTATCTTATAGTTTGGATAAAGAAATGTGGGAAATGTACATAGATTCAATGAGGGTGGGTAATTATCACAGATATTAAAACGGATAATAGTATGGATAGTAAACATAGAAAAATTACGTCACTAGCTTACTTGCGTGTGTACTTTTTTCAAATTCCTCTACAAAATATGACAAGAGATTTTTTTTCAAATGAATGTTATTTCAACTGAACATCTCTTTCAAAACAAACTATCTGCTACTTTTTTTTAATTTTCTTCGTTTACTAATTTAATTATCAATAATTAATGCAGTGAAATCGATGCAAAGGATAGGTATGGATGATTTATTTAATAATGTCACAATATGTTGGCATACCAAATCTTTGGTTGGTAATTCAAATGTCAACAGTTGTAGTAGGTCACTAGAAAACTCTCCAACAAGCTGCAGGTTGTCAGTAGATACTGAATTGGATTCATTTCATACCATAATATCCCAGTAGTGTATAGTTCAGAAACTTGGGCACTGACCAAAGAACCGAAAAACCCTATTGCTGGGTTTGAGAAATAGAGTGAAGATAAAATATACGGGCTATTTATAATAATGGAGGTTTAGATACGAATGAACAGAGAGCTAAGAGGAATATTTAAATACCTAGATATGCGTGGAGGAGAGAAGATACATAAAATTTTAAAATCTTACCAATGAGTACCACAAATTAGATGACCCCTTGGAGGACCAAGCAATGAAAGACTTCTCCAGACTGGGATCAAACATTAGCACAGGCAAGGGATAGAAGATAATGGGAGGCCAAAATCCTCTTAAGGTTTCAGTGTCCATAGGTAAAATAAGGTAGGCCTACAGTTAGTGATAATATGCAATTAAAGGTGGTATGTAGCTGTACTTTAAACCAGTGTGTGTGAATCGACCGCAAATCTCACTTCAAGGTTATTAAATCGACACAATTGTAGTTTTTACTGTAAAATTATCGGATTTAAATGCATATCGTATATGCCTATAATCAGACGAAAGAATTAGATGGTCACGTCGTATTAACAAGACATTTCCTATATTAAGTCTGCCAGAATTTTTCTTTATGCGTGTAAACTAGCAGTTCCAATTGACTACTTGATTCCCGTACGTAGGACGGGCTAACAGCTAGTTAAGATAATAACTTTTCAATGAAAACATACTTTAGTATTACCTTTACTGTGGTGGTAAACCTAACCTCATTAAAATTTATTTGATTTAAAAAGGAAAAATCTTACATTTATAGGTGAATATTCTAAAAAATATATAATCAAGTAAACATAAATTTTCGTTGTACAAGAAGAAATTTAGAATACTTAAGAAAATACTTTACGTCAGACTGCAGCAAAAACAGCGGTTTTTAATCCATGCGTTTCGGGTCTAAAGTAGCATTTTTAGCCTCTAGGGAGTAAAACGTGTTTTTAGCCCCTAGAGAGTAAAAGTCAGCTGTTGTCAACTCAGTGATAAATTTTGATTGTTAACAACCACATACCGAAAGTATATATGGATTGTTTAATTGATTTTAGCGTGTTGTTGTATTGTTGTATTGTAAATAGTTCGACATGTTGATAGTATACACTAACACAATTGTAATCGACACGTATGAATCGCTTACAAAACAACTGCTCGTTTCAATAGCGAATTAAATTGAAAACAAGTTAGTAGTTTCGAGAGGTTATCTTTAAATAACAACTGTTGTAGTTTTGTAACATAGTTTGTTCGAATAATTGTGCGATATGACAAAACATACAGTTCATCACATGGGAAAAAAGTGTCTTTCCAAACCTCATTTCCCGACTTCCGCTTCGCCTCGATCGTTAAACTTGAGGTCGGGTCGAAAAGAGTCACTTTACGCCCTAGTGATAAAAATAGTTACACTATTAAATCGAGTATCTCAATTCATATATCTTATAATACGGTAAATAAAGATCAGTATTTATAGTACGTGCTTGCAAAACTTACCAGTTTTGGGGTCCGAGGACACGTCTATTCCATTCTGTAAAACAATTAATTTATTAAGTTAAGAAAATTGTATAATCACGTCCGTATTTTTTATAAGAAATGATTCTCGCTTATCAAACAAACATTCAACATATGTCCGTTATTGCGACAACTCGAGCAAGAATGATCCGATTATGATAAAATGTAGTACAAACGTGAACACCTACGTTTATTCGAACGGGTTTGCGATTGGACAGGGCCTTTTGGGTTTTATGGGGGAAAATTGGTTTTCCCCATTTTTGTCTCTAAAAACATACAATTTCACAATTTATTTCCAAACCATTTTGTAGAACTTAAAAAGAAATAATTTTGTATATTGAAACGTTGTTGTATGCCTAACGGTTACGGAGATAATTTAAAAATCCCCAAGATATTCTTATCGAGAATAACCAAACTGTTGTAGTTTGCTTGTTTATGGATATATTTTAATCAAATTTAGAAGTTCTGTTTATTTCTTACTAAGCTATCAACATATCAATAAAAATTACACCTTTAAAACCTTCTTTGTAGCAGCAAACTCATTAACAATCAATGTCATTTATATAAGAAATGAATATGACAATTTTAATGGAATACTCTTATTTTAGTAAAAGTCCAGAATGGTAAATGGAAATTCGCTTAGTCTGCAGGTTTCCTGCGGCTGGGGTATTTTTTTCATCAGATTGAGTGGTTTTGAACTGAACCCGGGTCGACTTTCAATGAATTCTCCTTATAAAAAACCTGACCTTAAAACAGGACTGGGTTCAAAGAATTTTTATTAATCTAATATCCTCTAAGGTCAACTTTACTGTTGAAAAGGTCACAAATAAAATTGTATGTTTCATTCAGTAAAAAAAAAAAATTACTGATGAATTACTACAGTACAGGCTGGGATACTTAAAGCTGGTTTAGATTAGATTCAAATCCATACGGTGCCCACCAATCTGTGTGTGTCAAAAGGTGATGGATAACTGTAAAAATAATTAAAGTACAGATTTTTATTTTTTTGTAAAAAAAAAGAAAACAATTTTCCGCCGTAAACCAGATCAGAGTAACCATAAATAAACCGCTGACCTTTTTCAGAATACCCTCCAAAGAGTAGGCGATGAGTTTATTCACTAATACAGGTGTTATGTTGGATACCTTCTGATGTATGAAAACAAAAGCGTAATGTTTTGTCGAGAAAAGGAGTAAACATTATTTGCTTGCTATAATGGACAATTATAGCCTAATGGACAAGTTATTTATAAATAAAAAACTTACCTGCCACTTCATCTCCCCGCCATAATAGGCAGATTTGGTGTCTACCATGCTAATAATCTCTTTACTTTGACACTCAACACAAACGTCATAACGGCACCAATTTTCCGTTTGAGTAAATTTTTCGTCTTGAGTTATAAAAGTGAAATATGTTTTCCCACCATTTTTCTGAACATAAGTATACATCCTTTTTGTTTTCTCAGACAGATTGTATTCATTGAACGTTTCGGGTGACGAGCAGTCAATAGAGGTTATCGAAACAACGTGCGTCCCATCCACTTTTTGTACACGTGTAGTAAATTTACCATCAGCAATCTTAAAGCAAGTCATCAAGAACGTGCTTTCATTCTCCTTACTATAATTTATTAGTGAGTTGTGTTTTCTTACACCATCTCTGACTTGGTCATCCAAATGTATGTTTTTTTCTGTAAACAATACAAGTATTTAATAGCAGGATTTGGATATGCATGAGTGTATGTACATATTCGAACAAGGAGTTTTTTTTATTTTAAGTACCATATAATCTATACTATTATATAAAAATTTAATGGTGTCTGTCTGTGTGTTTATTGCTAATAGGCGCATAAACTACTGAATCGACTGGGCTCAAATTTTACAAAAATATAGTTACCATACCAAGGATGGTCATAGGACTATCCACACTTCGGTACTGACCGTGGGCTTTGCCCCTTTAGCTTTAAAAGTTCTGAGGTGAGGATTTCAAAAGTAAATATTGATTGGTCTCCATGGCTGCTATGAGAACATTCAATGTTTAAATTTGTATTTCAATGTAAACAAGACCTGCCAAATTGCTTATTTCACAATTTCAGGCAGCTGATCCGAAAAAATAAATCTCATGTACTAAAAAAACGTTTGCAAAACTTACGACAGCTAGCCTGGCCATACTACTTGACCGAATTACGCGCGGTTGGTACTAAATGCAAGATATTTTCCTGTAGATGTGCAGAATCCCTTTATAAATTAAAATAGGCTCAACAATAAGCACGAAAAATGAATTTGAAATTAAAAAAAAATAGCATGGGTCTTATGGGTTGTTATGCTGGTGACAAAATAACTAAACAGAAAATTTAAACAAATTCCAATCACATGTTTTATTTAGAGTGTGGGGGGGAAATGGAGAAGTCTATCGATCGTCTGTACATTACATATTTTTTTGCGAGTTTTCAACCACTAGACAGATGATTTCTAATTTACTATATTAACTATTTTACGGAGTCGTTCAAAGAAGGAATTTTCTGTGGCAGTTAGATTAATGTATCCGCCTGCAATACTTAAATGATATGGGAAGGGAGGGAAACAGGTCCACGACGCTGGAAGTGGTAGAGGAAGTCGTAAAGGCAAGCAGTGCGGTGTGTGGGAACCGTTTGGGGCAGTTGGATTAACGTATCTGCAATACTTAAATGCTATGGGAAGGGAGGGGAAACAGGTCCACGAAGTAGGAAGTGGTGAAAGAAGTAGTAAAGGCGAGCAGTGCAGAGTGTGGGAACCGTTTGTGGAAGTTGAATTAATGTACTTAAATGCTATGGGAAGGGAGGGTAACAGGTCCACGAAGTAGGAAGTGGTGATGGAAGTAGTAAAGGCGAGCAGTGTGGAGTGTGGGAACCGTTTGTGGAAGTTAAATAATGTATCTGCAATACTATGTATAAGACTACACTGTCAGAGTAATCTAATGACTTTCCCCGAGCAAAGCTTGGTACCCAGGTATTTACTAGAATACAATGCCGTAAATTTGAGCTCATAATAACAGATGGGTAAAAAGTGGCAGATTCAAGAAATATTTGAACGGTTGCCATTTTGACTCGGTTGTCCGTTTGAGTTTGGGTTTACGGCAATGTATATTACTTAATAAAATCTTGGATTTTATACCAAACTCGACCTATGCTCATGCTATTCAAGCATGTATTACAGTAGCATGTACAGTATTAAAACTTTACGGATAGGTTGAAAATAATCTTATATATTAAAAAAAACGTATGCAAAACATATGACAAATAGACTGATCATATTACTGGACCGAATTACTCGCGGGTTGTACCAAAAGAAAGGTTATTGGTCCTACATGTGCGTGTTTTATTTGTATTTTGAAAATTTTTATGTTAGTTGGGTCAGAAATGGAAATTAATCTTTTGTTATGGAGATTTAACATGGGGCCAAAATTTTAAGCTTACAACAGCCACCCTGACCATACTACTGGACCGATTTAAACGAATGTATTGTTGTTGTCTATGGAAATTGCCAGAGGTGCTGTGTTTTGTTTGTTTCTGCTATGGAATTCGATCATTTGAGTTTTGGAACTGTTTACAAACCAATGTAATATTGAGCTGATTTGACCAATTGATTTCGTCTTGAGGACGCGCACGCATGCTGCAGACAATGACAATGAGGTATCTATCATCAGCAAACAAGCACCGAGCCAGGGGAGGATCCATCAATGAATGGCATCGACTGTACTTCTATTTTATGTGAAGCCAAATTGATTTGGGGGAAGAATATTGTGTTTATCAATAAAAGTTATAAGTATAAAAAGAAAAATATTATTTACTGTTTTACATAAGCTGTCTCCATATGCATTTCAATAGTCTTGGCTTATTGCCGTTCGGCTTGGTTATTAACAATTTACTAGTGTAAATCTTCCTCGAAATCGAGGAATCGCAAAGAAGTAAAGGAGTTATTTAAAAATAAATAACTTATTTAAGAACAAATATAAGTCATAAATTCCGATGAGTTTAAAAAAGTCAACTCAAAGAATACGTAACTTATGATAATACTCACAATGTACTTAACAGTTCAATATAATCAACATTTCTTGTCAATATTTGATCATTTTTCAAAAGCTGATCTGGCTTTTAGTGTATTGTAAAAATTTTTCGGACCACTTATAGCCGCAATATGTTGTCCATGTTGGTATTTGTCAATGATAATGTAGTCTGCATAGTATCATAGATAAAACATACTCCCTTAGTAGATTTCTCATCCTTATGGAACAGCTGAAGACAATTTTATTGTTAGTTCATGTACGGTTTATGTAGAGGTCGTGTTTTTTTTACAATTTGTTTCCCGTTATTACAGCCATTTAAAACCTCGTTTAGCCAAATAATTCGATCTAATCATAAACAATAACTTGTCCCCTAGTTATATAACCAAACAGTAAAGCACAAATCAAGAAATTAACCCTAAAATAACGGAAACAAAGTTTCATCGACACTAGCGCCTTTGTGTCACTTACATGAACTAGACACGAAAAACGTGCTTCAAAATTTACAATGGGACGAGAAGTCTACTTGTGTTGGTTAGTCTATGATAGTATCACCCATTGTCGCCAGTACGTTTACAAATTTCAGTCTTTATTTTAATAGCACCAAATAACCATTAACTACTTATTTTCTGCATTTAAGCTCTCTGTCACAATTTTACAATTAACATATGTTCTTCTTCTCACTTTTAATTTCTGACAACAGCTGGAGTTTCATAACAATATTTGTTTCCCTTGTTAATCTTATGGAGAAATATGAAACTTTAAAGGGCCCCAGGGCCTCACTCTCTAATTATTTCCCTAAAAAGAAAGTTTCCTGCACAACTTCACGTTACGCTCTTTCCAATGACACCAAAAACATGTCAATCAGTTCAGTATTTTCGGAGGAGTAATTGTCACAAAAAACCTGCTTGCGTATTAAATAAGTATACTAGCGAACCTGTGCGGCTCAATGCCCCGCAAAATAACATTTGAATTTAGAAAACAAATTTATCGTATCATATATTGACGTCGAAAATTAAATACAGTAATAATGAAGCCTTGGAAGGGAAGCAGTCCATCCATTTCCTAGCTGTATGTGTATTATATCAAGGCCACACTAAAAAAATAGTTTTTTTTAGTGTGGCCTTGATTATATTTAGTTAATTAATAAGTGTTCAAGTTCAAGTATGTTATAGGCAGCGAGCAAGGTTGTAGGGTAGTTATTTTTTAAAGATTTTTAAAACACATTTAACAAAACATTTTACCATATCAAACCAATAGGCCTATGTAGCATATTTTGAGGGTCATAAAAATGCTGCTTGAAGAAAACACACTTTTAAAAATAAACAATAAAAAAACAATATTTTTATCACAAAAGCACTTCCATGAATACTACGATTTTAGCCTTAAAGTTACCTTCAGGAAGATAACCCTGGTCAGAGTTTTCCGTAACGAATATGCGTGTCCTATTAAAAGATGTAGCCTTAACTAGGTGGCGTTCGCCGAGGCATCCACAAAATTGAGCGGAGTCATCAAGGGTTCATATTATATTGTTTTTGTCATACTGCAGTAAAAACAGTCGTTTTTAAATAACTTTTAAGCTTTAAAATTTTAATTTAAAATTTTTTAATTTTTTTGCATTGCGGCTCTAAAGTATCATTTTTACTCTTTAGTGAGGAAAAATCGTTTTTAACCTCTATGGAGTAAAAATCAGCTGTTGTCAAATCAGTTGTAAATATCTATTGAAAGTGATTGCATGTATCGAAATATGTATCGATTCGTGCTTCGTAATCATTTTAACCTACAGTCTACAGTCTCTTCCCATAGCATTTCAGCATTGCAGATACATTAATCGAACTGCCACAAACGGTTTCCAGTTCCCGCACTCCACACTGCTCACCTTACTACTTCCTTCACCTCTTCTTACGTCGCGGACCTGCTTCCCTCTCTTCCCATAGAATTTTAAGATTGTAGATACCTTAATCTAATCGTCATAAACAGTTCCCAGACTCCAGACAGCTCGCCTTGACTACTTCCTTCACCACTTCCTACGTCTCAGACCTGTTTCCCTCCCTTCCTTTAGCATTATTGGATTGCAAATACCTTAATCTACTGGTCATAAACGGATACCACACTCCTTACAGCTCGCCTTTACTACTTCCTTCACCACTTCCAACGTCACGGACCTGTTTCCCTCCCTTTCATTGGCATTTTAGGATTGCAGATACCTTAATCTAATCGTCATAAACTGTTCCCACACTCCGAACAACTCGCCTTTACTACTTCCTTCTCCACTTCCTACGTCACTGACCTGTTTCCCTCCATTTCCATAGCATTATTGGATTGCAAATACCCTAATCTATTGGTCATAAACAGTTTCCACACTCCGGACAGGTCGCTTTGACTACTTCCTTCACTACTTCCTACGTCACCGACCTGTTTCCCTCCCTTTCCAATAGCATTTTTGGATTGTAGATACCTTAATCTAATCGTCATAAACGGTTTCCTCACTCCAGACAGGTCGCTTTGACTACTTCCTTCACTACTTCCTACGTCGCGGACCTGTTTTCCTCCCTTCCAATAAAATTTTAGGATTGCAAATACCTTAATCTTATGGCCATAAACATATCCCATACCCCGAACAGCTCGCCTTTACCACTTCCTTCACCA